GTGCCCCCTCCCCCTACCCACCCCCCGATGTATTTTACTGCTACAATCACGCGACCGTTGCTGAGCAGAGAACCATACTTTCAAGCCAGGGTCAGTTTATACTAACAGATAGTATAGAAAGTCCCTGTAAAAAGGCAGGCAAATCCTAACAGTACTGTAACTTAATGATACATGTATATCAAGTTACAGCACCTCACCCAGCACAGTTAGCACACTGCATGGTGTGTGTCAGTCTTATAATTAAAACTGTGTAGGTTCATATCGTTTGATTCAACGTTTTTTCGGATATTTTAAGGACCGTTGTCAACATGGTCAAATCCGACCTGCCACTTTGCAACCTGACCTGCAAAAATATAATTCGACTAAAAACCAGTCAAAATTGCTTTTTGAGACTGGGCGACTGAAAAAGTTTTAAAATGTGACCTTGTGACCCTACTTGGAATTCTCCATTCATCGGCGTGTGTCGTGTGGCTAAAAAGGGGGCATTGTTTTTTTTTCTTGGGACAAAAAAATTGTTTCTATCTTTGTTAAAAAAAAATCAAGACCAATCATAAACTTTTTTTTCAAAACTCAGTGTCGTATTTTATTGTTTTCCCAACAATGTTTAATAAAAGCTTAAAATGTTTGTTTCACTTCCCTCTGACTTCCCTCCTGATTTTTTTTCTCAAGAAATTATAGAATCTGTAAATGGATATATGTCTGTAGTCACGGTCATGCATTTAGATAAGAAATTCCAGCATGCATCATCAAATAATTCATGTGTATTTGTGACATCAACAAAACTGAAACATTATATTATTTCCCAGTAATTATGTAAATCATTTTGATTTACAAGTATATATGTCTGGGACTTATGCATGTATATATCTCACAGGCACTTGTCTCAGAAAAAAATCTCTATATACTTTAATTAAGGTATATAGGGGAAAAAATCTGAGACAAGTGCCTGTGATATATCTGTCAGTCCTAGAATAATAAATATAATAATTGTATCTTAATCTTTGGAAAAATCCAATTATTAAATTGTAAAATTCTTTTACTTCATAATTATGTCAAAGTATACTTTTTAAAGTTTTAAATTTTAAAGTTAAAATAAATATTCCGTTTTGATCTAAGGAAAAAAAATTTAGACTGTAATGACATGGTCAGTCAACGGATTTGTTGCATGGCTGATTACAGGTAATTAAAGCATGCAGTAATTTTCCATTACGACAGTGCGTGTACCCTGGGGTGTGTATAACGTTTTAGAAATACCATAGTTTTCTAGAGAACATCCTGTCGATGTGTAATACAGATTGATGACATTACACAAAATTTCTTTCGTTAAATATAGTTAAGTATCTGTGTCCATGCATTCCCTGTTGCAACACTACAAATTTTTCGAAGAAAAAAATGTTAAAATTTGAAGAAAAAAAAATCATTTATATAAAATAAAGAAGAAAAAAAGTAGCAAATACACTTATGTTATTTGCCTATCCTGCAGTAGACAAGAAATTGAGGATGAATACCATTTCTTCTCAGTCTGTCCATGCTATACATCATTGAGGGATACCTATATACAAAATATTAATAAAAATCTTAATTTCAATTTTATTAAATTGCAGTCACCTATAACGCTGAGGCATATGACCGCACTTTTAAATAGCAGTCTGCCAGTCATTATAAATATCACCATAAAGTATATTAATGATTGTTTTTTATTGAGAACATCTGTATAACTTATGTTTCTAAAAATACATGAATATTGTTTTTACAAAAAGAAGTTTAATACATTTTTCATTTTGTATGTAATAATTGAAGCCATTTCGAAATATAAGAAATCTTCACATAGTCGGGAAATTTTCAATTCAAGTTATTTCATTTGAAAACGTTAAAAAATATAGATCTTATTCGATGTAAAATGTGGCGTCCTTGGATATCAAAACCCCGTTTAAATAGGGTTTGTCTACTTTCGTCTATTGTCGAACATTCTATAATCAAGGATTTGTACAAATCCTTGCTATAATATAATGAATCGCGTCGCCAATATCACCACAATTACATAAATTACAAATACAATCTTCCCCTAAATATTTCTAACAATTTCAATAGGAAATTTTGAGTCGAAACTGAAGTACCAAATCTACAAAAAGAATCACTATTTTTTATAGTAGTAGGCGACGAAAACTAAACTGTTTATAATCTTTTTTTTCTCCTTAATTAATTGAAACTCTTGAAATGATTTAACATTAACTATAGACAGCTTACAAATTCAAATCTTTTTAGAAGTATATGAGTGTATAGTAATAATTTGTTCATTAACCCCCCTTTTTTCTTCTATAAAATTACATTGTAATCGATTTTATTTCCAAATTTGTGTTTGCTAGGATTGACACTTAGAACGTACAACATAAAGTAACAAGTAAAAAGTCACGATTCAGTTTTGGGATATTTTTTTCTTTGAATAAACTTAATTTTAAAAACGTTTCAGCATTTTTCTGAAATATTTTTAAAAGGAAACGGACTTGAAAACAAAATTTATTTTTTAATATTAATATTGAACAATGATTGTTAAGAAAACAATCTGCCAAAGTGGTTTGGTAATTAACTGGCTTCATACTGTCAAAAATGTCTCCTTTTTATAAGTTTTTGATAAAAAAAAAAAAAACTATTTGAAGGCGAATTAATCATTTCCTCAACTAAATACATTTATCTATAAATAAAGTCAATTCGTCAAGAACTTTCTCTCATATATTTAAACAATTGTAAAATAATTAATTTAAACTTTTGTACTGCGACTTTCTGTCCCTTTACCAATACTTATTCCTTGTTAGGTTTTTTCATATCCATTTACGAATACTTATAATGTGATAATTTTCGGAAGCTTTTATCCTATTTTCATATCAAACAACCATGTTACCCGTAGAACGGAGTTAAGTACAAATTTAGGAATTTAGTAGTTAAAATTTTCAACAACAAAATTTTATACTTTCATTTACCTGGATTTTGTTCTACGCTTCGAAGCCGCCACCCTGTATCAAACATAGCCAACACCTCGCATGGCGTATTCACGATGTTGAGGGATTGACAATATACAATCAAACTTTAGCAATATACAGCAAGTAAGTAATTGGGTGTTGAATGTCAGTAGATCTGAATTTGTAAATTGAATTTAACCTGTTTAGAATGTGTATTGGTGAATTGTTTAATAAAATTACACACATATGATAATCTGGGCTGATATGCATAAAACCACTTTAAGTTCAAAGTATCAATGAAACTGGGTCTGCATGAAAAAATGACTTATCACATAATACCAGAACCTATGTTTACTGTTAGATGATAAGAAACTATAGCTGTAGGCCTAGTTTACAAATTATTTATTCTTTTAATTTCTATTTGACTGTCTGGGTGCTTCTTATGTGTTTTAAATATTTGCGTTTTGTATGCTATAGTTAAGTTTTATAGACTGTTGTACGTCATTTGGTCGTTTTTAAGTTTTTGCCATGGCGTTGTCAGTATGTCTTCGACCTATAAGTTTTATATAATCTGCATCTCTTGTGCTGTATTTTAAAATGTATCTTTACACATTCATCAATACACCAAAAAATATGAATAAAGCTTTCGTATATATAAAAATAAGGAGATGTGGTATGATTGGTAATGAAACAATTATCCGGGATATTTTGAGACAAAGTGCACGTATCAGCAGTCAGCCGAAACCACTAAGCGTTTTGCATCCATACGTTGTTTTTTTTTCGGGATACTGACTGGATTGTAAATTATCAATGTACTAGTTAATGTTCTCGAGGGATGGCCCTATTACAGAGACATATATACACATATGTGTATATATGTCTCTGCCCTATTACGTGTCAGTAACATTCTCGACACGGTTCATTTTTACGGCGGCTCAGTTTTGTCTTAAGAATAAACATAATTGATAAGTTTCTTTCCCCTGCATTCCTCGATCGCACTTGTAAATAGCACATTAGTCTCAAGACATTGGTACACTATACGTTACAACACTTGCCGTCAGTACTCAAAATTGGAAAATTATTAAATAAGAAGGTATAGAAAATTAATGCATACACACTATTATCAACCACAGACATGATGTTTTTCTCAATTTGCCTAAATCGTTATTCCGCAATACAACGAGGGTGAAAACCCACCACTTTGAACACAGTCACAGGCACCGGCATGTTGTGAATTTGAAAGTTCAAATAGGGGGGGGGAGGGGGCCCGGGCCCCCTTTCTTGGGAAAAATTTGGTTGATTATATAGGGATCACTGAAGCTTGACTGGAGCCGGCCCTCTCTTATGAAAAGTTCTGGATCCGCCACTGCATATTCATAAAATAAACCAACATAAAATTATCCAAAAGATGAATAATACTTAATACTTACGACTAAGATTGACTATAAGTATACTTGAGTCGGTTTTACAAAAAAAAAAAATACAAGTAATTGTATAAAGTATACTGTATTGTACATGACTTTATTACTATCAATATTATTTGTAAGTTTTTTTGTGAAACTGACTGCTGAATTGTTTTTCCATGCTTATGGTACATCTAAGTCGTATGCTTTTTATAAAACCACCTCCAGGGTGTAATGTCTGCTCGCCCATAGAATCTGTTTGTAGATATAGGAAGATGTGGTATGAGTGCCAATGAGACAACTATCCATCCAATTCACAATTTATAAAAGTAAACCATTATAGGTCAAGGTACGGTCTTTAACACAGAGCCTAGTTTTTATCAAAAAATAAATATATTGATATTAATAGTATATAGGTTAAATAATTTATTCATACATTTTTAATTGACTGACCTAGAATTATCATGATTATTGAGGAATTTAAACCATGCATTCCTATTTTTAAAAAGGGACAAAAATAAAATTTATATATAATAACAGGGTGATACAAATGAGAAAAACTCAAGAAATTGTTTTCAATTAAGATAAATACATGCAGTTAATAATGGTTTCCAGTTGTTTTTTAAAGTTGAGGCAGATTTAGTTTAAAGTTGGAAAAAATTGTTTGTACCAACAAAAATAAATACACGAAGTTAATCCAGAATTATGTGTTTATCATTTTTTTTTTTATGTTTAGGTTGCCAGCAAGATGAAAAGAACAATGCAGTTCAAAAGTCAAAATGTGGATAAGCTGCGGTACAAGGTCCTACTTTTGCAGATTTTCATATTTTGCATGAATGAATTTGAAGTTTATATCATGGAGGGCAGAGAAAGAAAAGAAACACTTCAATTTTCCTGCTTCTGAAAGATCTTGTTCGGTAAGTTTTATGCTCTGTTTTGATAGTGTTTGTGCGTCCATCTGTCTTTCTCTAAATTGTATTCACTTAAAGTTTTTGGTTACAGTTCACCATGAGACTGAACTTCAGTTAGTAACTTGTGGTTTTACATGTATATACTTAAAATTTAGTACTTTAAAATGTTCATGTATTTTTGTCGAGCCTGCAACTTTTGTCGCAGAAAGCTCGACATAGGGATAGTGATCCGGTGGCGGCTACGGCGGTGGCGTTAGCTAACTTCCTAAAAGCTTTTTATTTTAGAAGGTGGAAGACCTGGATGCTTATACTTTGTATATAGATGCCTCATGCATGTCATGATACCAATTCTGTCTGAAACATGTCCATTGTCCTTGACCTCATTTTCATGGTTCAGTGACTACTTGAAAAAAAAGTTCAGATTTTTTAAAATGTTAATTTCTCTCATATTATGAGTAATATGATAACTATATTTGGTATGTGCGTACCTTGCAAGGTCCTCATGCTCGTCAGAGAGTTTTCACTTGACCTAGACCTCATTTCATGGATCAGTGAACAAGAACTTAGTCTAGATGCATGATTTTTTTTATTAGTTGTTAGTGGCTTTGTACTAGCTGTCAGTAACTGCGAGTACTCTCAGATCTATACTTAGTGTCTTTTTGTTGTTTGGATGTACAAGTACCCAGCCACGTCCACTTGTATTTGTAGTATTTGTATTTTTATCCATCTGATGAGTAAAGCCTCTTTCAACTGATTTTTATAGTTCGTTCTTATGTTGTACTGTTACACCACTGTCCCAGGTTAGGGGAAGGGTTGGGATCCCGCTGACATGTTTAACCCCGCCACATTCTGTATGTATGTGCCTGTCCCAAGTCAGGAGCCTGTAATTCAGTGGTTGTCGTTTGTTTATGTGTTACATATTTGTTTTTCGTTCATTTTTTGTACATAAATTAGGCCGTTAGTTTTCTCGTTTGAATTGTTTTACATTGTCATTTCGGGGCCTTTTATAGCTGACTGCAGTATGGGCTTTGCTCATTGTTGAAGGCCGTACAGTGACCTATAGTTGTTAATTTCTGTGTCATTTGGTCACTTGTGGAGAGTTGTTGTCTCATTTGCAATCATACCACATCTTCTTTTTTATATTTAAGGTTAAGTTTTGGTGGTCAAGTCCATATCTCAGATACTATAAGCAATAGGTCTAGTATATTCGGTGTATGGAAGGACTGTAAGGTGTACATGACCAACTGGCAGGTGTCATCTGACCTTGACCTCATTTTCATGGTTCAATGGTTATAGTTAAGTTTTTGTGTTTTGGTCTGTTTTTCTTATACTGTATGCAATAGGTCTACTATATTTGGTGTATGGAATGATTTTAAGGTGTACATGTCTAGCTGGCAGGTGTCATCTGACCATGTCCTCATTTTCATGGTTCAGTAGTCAAAGTTAAATTTTTGAGTTTTGGTCTTTTTTTCTAATACTAAATGCAATAGTTCAACTATATTTGGTGTATGGAAACATTTTATGATGTACATGTATGTCAGTCTCGCAGGTTTTATTTGACCTTGACCTCATTTTCACGGTTCATTGCTCAGTGTTAAGTTTTTGTGTTTTGGTCTGTTTTTCTTAATCTATAAGCAATAGGTCAGCTATATGTGTTGTATGGAAGGATTGTAAGCTGTACATGTCTGCCTGGCATGGTTCATCTGCCCTTCACCTCATTTTCATGGTTCATTGGTCAATGTTTAGTTTTCTTGGTTAAGTCTGCTTCTTAGACAATGTTAGAAACTATAAGCAATAGTTCAACTGTATTTAGTATATTGAATGATTGTAAGGTGTACATATATTTCTTGTCAGGTTCATATGACCTTGAATTCATTTTCTTGGATCATGTTGAGTTTATGTGATAGTTGTAGTAAAGCTTTATATTTAGGACTATCAACATGATATAAATGATTAGTAAGGAAGGCGCAACATTTCAGCGTGTGCACTCTTGTTTATATATTATACACCACATTTACTGTTTTTACCCTGATTTTATGAATCACTGAACATAGAAATGTCATAATGTGAAATTATAGTACATTCTTAGGTTAAAGTTTTAGGTTAAGGTATGTAGCTTACCATAAAGTTGAATTTCATACACATGTTCATTATGTGTTGAATTTTTAAATTCAGTGCCAAACTAAGATTTTGAGCCTGCTTACATGATTGACTAGACATTGACACATGCTAGTGTTTACCAGGCATGGTGTCCTGTATTAGGAATTTGTCATGTACTATAAAGAACGTTAATAGTACTCGCTGAGTATGGAGTTTTTGTGAAAGTTTAATATTAGTGAGATTTTTGCATGACATCCTGTCAACTGCTTGTTGATCATGTTTATACATGTCTTAAATTTAATATCTGACACATTGGTGTTTTGTGAACTTGGAAATAAGTTATTTGATAGAATAATAATGTTTTGAGATTATCAAAATAAAAAATATCCCATTTTTACTATTAATGATTAAGTTTAAAAAAAAAAAAGATTTAGGATATATGTATAACCATATATAAAAATGAGACAGCAACCGAACAACACAAAAATAAGAAAAAAAAACAATATAATTTTTTGTATCAATGTTATAATTTCCAACATGTCCAAAGAGTTCAATGTATTTTCTAATTGAAATAAAACACAAGTGGAACTCTTTCAGAACTTCAGAAGCTTGAAGAAGTGCTGTTTCTATTGTTGGTTTTCTGTATAATATATTGCAAATTCTTGTGAAAAATGGAATTTTATTGTAATTGCCTAAAGTTTTAACATTGATCTATATATATATATATATAACTGGGGAAAATACCCAAATGTTATAAAGAAGAATACATAAATTGATTGTTATATAATATTAGAATAGGAAGATGTGGTATGTTGCTAATTTGACAACTCTCCATCAGAGACCAAAGGATGTAGGAGGTTAGCAACTGATGACACTGGACAACCTTCAACAATCAGTAAAATCCATACCGCATAGCTATTTTTATTGAAAATCATATGTTATTGCTACATGTAAGCAAACAATTTTTTATTATCCATAACTTCGGATTTTATTTGTTCTTTTTCAGAAGGATTGAAATTCATCACTTAGAATAAAAAGAGAAAACACAGAAACAAGACCAAAATAAATTCAAAGACAAAAGTCAGATCAGTTATTATTTTCATCACTCAGTCAATGAATTGAAGTTCTATTAAATATCTAAAGATATTAAAACCACAATAATGACTATGTTCTGTGCTGAATGGCCAAAAAGTGGACTATACATTACGATCACACAATGCTGGATGATAAGAAACTATTAATTTTTTGGGTGGAGGGATATCCTGAAAAAAAAATAGATTTATGTAAAAAGCTACTAGTATGTTAAGCCTATTAATAGAGTTTTCATTGATTTCAAATGGGAAAAATTGTGTTTCAAAAAAGTATTCTAGAATTCATAAATAAACATATATTGATACTTACATTATCTGCTTTGTTGTTTAAAAGTTTAGTTTTGAACAGTTATAGAACAATATAATTGCATTAACATTTCCAAGGAAAAAAAGATATTCAACTAAAAAGATTCATCTTAAAACAATTTACTATCAAACAGAATTCATTGTAACATACACATTTATTTACTGTATATTTATAATTTGAATCCCATAGGATTTTATTTTATCCCATGTGTCCCATGGGATATTAAAAATCCCATGGGATAATTATAGTCCCATGGGATTTTTTTTGTCCCATGGGACAACAAATATCCCATGGGACTACAATTATCCCATGGGACCCCAAAAAATCCTATGGGATTTAACCAAAATCCCATGGGATAATGGTCAATCCCATGGGATTTGCCCTATCCCATGGGATATTGAAAATCCCATGTTTTTCTAAATCAAATTACAAAATATCTATAATAATAACAGCAGAAAAGCAATTAAATTATTGAATCCCATGTAATTCCGCACATTTTGGTTATATACACGACACTGTAGCTCTAAGGAGAGGCGGCGGCGGATTTGCAAATGAGTGTTTTGCAAATTAAAAGTGTCCAGTGTTTATTCCTGACTTGGTACAGGCATTTCCTTAAGTAGAAAATGGTGGATTAAACCTGGTTTTAAAGCTAGCTAAACCTTTCACTTGTATGACAGTCGCATAAAATTCCATTATATTGACAACAATGTGTGAACAAAACAAACAGACATAATAGGTAAAAATGTCAAAAATAGGGGTAAAGCAGTCAACATTGTGTTATAATCTCAATCACTATAAAAACAAACAAATATGTCAACAAAGAAAAACAAAATGGCATAGAGACAAAGCAAATTAAACGCAAAAATGAAACACAAGAATACAAAACATGTCACAGCACAACACAATGGCGGGATGTACAAGTACCGAGCCACGCCTAAAGGATATTACCAAAAATGGACCAAACAGTAAACGTTAATAATTTACAAAGACAAATTCATATTTCAAAGATTCGATCAAATTTATTTTATTTAAACCCATAAATGTCAGTTTGGTCTTAGGAGTCTAGGTATGACACAATTCAATATGCAACATATTTGCAGAACAATATCATAATTGGTAATTTTCAAGTGTTTCTTCTGAGATTTAATAGAAAAACAAAGGACATTTCTGGACGCCTACATGTATTTTTGTGAAATGGACAGCAGAGGCGGATATCTTTCAAAAACCAGGATGGAGCTTCAGCCATGGAATAACATGAAAATGAATAGGTTGTACCATAGCTAAGCTCCGCCTTCTTTCCTTTAGATTCAAACAACATCAAATTGCAGATAGTATACCATGGTCTTCCTTCTACACACTTTTTAAGTAATTTATTTCATTCAAACATCAAAAGAAAAAATGTAATTTATATTACAAATAGCAATTATACTACGGCCACGCTTCCGATTTTTAAAATGAAAAGGCCGAAAGTTTTCAAAGTAGACAATGTTCATTTGTACACGAACAGAAGGCAAAAAACATTTATAATTCACCTATATGCGAACAAATTGTAGCTTCGACCTAGGAATTGGCATATTTGCATTTTTATTAAGGCATGTATAATCCTATTGCAATGGCTGTCGTCGTGATAAAGCAATATGGCCGCTATGCAAATTAGCAAAGTACCCCAAATTTTGCCATATGGTTATTTCCCTTGTGCTTTTTAAATGAATATTATTCGTCTTTTCATTTGTATCTTTTTGGTCGTTGTTTTCTCAACTTATGTTATTGTATAATCCTATGTTATCTTCTTATGAGTCCTATTAGAGGTTCCCGATTTGCTACCGTACCAACCGTGGTACGAATTGGAAGCCGTCATTAAACGTTTAGAAATAATTGATGTATTCACTAATATCAACGTATGTTTTATGAATCAAAATCAAAAGTGTTTAGAGGATTTTTAGCTGCAACTTGGATTTAGTTTCACGTGGATATTTTTCGTATTTATAGCAAACAATATTGTGTGTACTCTATTATGGTTTCAAGTAACCGTATCACGAACGGTTTGTAATATTTGTAACTTAGATTTATTTCCCCTGAAATTGCAACGGCAAAACCAAGCTTAAATATGAAACACATTTATAATCTATCTGATTTTAAACTATTATATTATTATAACAATATGAAATAAAAACGTTTAGAATTTTTTGGTTAAGCTTTAAGAAAATATGAACAAATAAGAGCCAATTAAAAGTACAAAATCAACCTCGTATTAATGATGAAATAAGAATAAAACCGCAATCTGTTTCGCGAGGGACGTCACCAACAAATCGTCGTGTGAATGTTTTAGTGTTATATTACAACTTTTGATATAAATGGAGATAAATATACTTTTGATATCCAAGTACAATGGTCTATCTCCTATACAACTATAATACCAGATTTCTGCACCCTACAAGTTTTTGTCAGAACTACATTGTTCTATCTCCACATTCCCATTGGATTTTTCATCTAGTTAGTTCAAATAAAAATATTTTTATAGTGTTGTATCTTCACTATTTTTCGGGTATTTTTGCTGTAAAATAATTGTTATCAAAATTTCAATTCCTATATAACTTTTTATGTCTCAGTCAAATATTTAAGATATTCCGCTTTTAAAGTTTAGTTCAATTTTTTACCACTATTACCAAATGGGAAATACATCATTATTGAATTCACACGACGAAATGTCTCTAAAAATTGTTTAAAATACATAAAAACATTATTTCATGTAGGTCATCAATATTTTGTTTAAATAATCAGTATCAATTTTTCGCATTCTTTATTACAAATAAATATTGTCACTCATTTACGTAGTTCATCTATTATCA